CACTAGAACACGCTCTGGGCCTATTTGGCAGAGGGGGTGACACGCAGGGGGGCACACCCTCATTCTTAGCCGCCATCTGTCTCTTTTCCTGGAGCCTTGGTCCCAGGGTCTCACCTGGCTCAGGTTCCCTCAGCAAGCAGGGCTTGTTGGTGTGCATGCTGTGCAGGTCCCATGCTCCCAGTGACAAAGGCCCCTCCCTGGCCCTGCATGCTCTCCTCTGTGTCCTCCCGGCCTTACTTTCTCTCCCTCTCAGGCCCGGAACATGTCTGTTTGGCTCCCCGGCCCGGACGAGTCCCTCCCCAGCAGCAACTGTGCCATCCGAGTTGGAGACAAAGGTGGGTGGCCTGCACCAGCCAGGACATAGCTCACACCCTGCTGTGGTCACCCTTGACAATGGTGTGGCAGGCCAAGGATGGCACCCTGTGCTCCTTGGGGCCTCAGGTCCAGCCTCCCCCTCTGCTGGGCTCAGGGCCTCTCCCTGCTCTGCACAGTGTGCCCACCCAGGCTTCTCCTGAGTGCCCTGGCCTGCTCCTTGGGGCCCCTCCCACTCTTTGCTGCCTTTCTCTCCTGAGGTGGGGAGACCAAGCAGCCCCCTCCCACAGCTCAGCCTGATCTTCCTCTCCAGTCCCCTATGACATCTGCCGGCCAGACCACTCGGTGCTGACCCTGCAGCTGCCTGTGACGGCTTCAGTGAGGGAGGTGATGGCAGCGTTGGCCCAGGAGGACGGCTGGACCAAGGGGCAGGTGCTGGTGAAGGTCAACTCTGCAGGCGGTGAGTTGTGTGTCGAATAGGGGGGGCCCTCAGAGCCATGCCCAGATCCCCCAATTAAAATCATCATCTTTATTGTCTTCATCACTGTTCATGATGCCTGGCATTTGTGGGAGGTTGGTGACGTCTCTTTAAAGTGCTTTAAATGTGGTGCTTGTCAGCATGAACTCTGGAGCCTGCTGCCCGCATCTGAACCCGGCTCTTTAGCGCCCTGTGTGCATGTCCTTGGGCACACAGGGTGCTTCATCTCTCCATGCCCTGTTCCGTCTTCTGTAAAACGGGGGTGAGAAGAGGACATGCTTCCTAGAGGCATTGTGAGGACCACATGGCTCATCTGTGGAAGTGTTTAGAACAGTGTCTGGCACATAGCACTCCTTAGGTATTAGCTGCTACTGGTATTCTTATCATGCTTGTGTATTCACTTAATCCAATAACAATATTATGGGATAGGTACTTTTGTCCTATCTCAGACAAGGACACTGAAGCTCAAAGGGATTAAGTGATTTTCCCAAGCTCACATAGTGAGTGTAGCTAGCCTTTGAGTTTAGCATGGTGCCTGGCACAAAGCCAGGCTCAGAGCATGGCAGCATGGATTTTTAAGACCTGCCTTCAGAGAACTTCAGGACATTAACAGCCACTGTTGTCTGTGAAGGATGCTGCCCAGGTCTGACCGCGGGAGCCCAGGGTAGGCTGGAATTAGGGGCGTCCAGAGAAGAAGGGCAAGGAGTGGAGGCAGAAAAGCAAAACCTTCTCCCTTCAGGACCTGGGGAGACAGGATGAAGTCACCTGTGACTACGTGCTCTGGAAGCATTGCCCTCTGGTGGCCACCTGGAGAGTTGCGGTTGCCCAAAGCCAGCATCTATTGATACCCTACTCAGAGCCAGGTGCTATTTAGAGAACAGATTTCTAGAGTGTTGTGATCAACACCCTTGTCAGTAACCGATATTTTATTACAACCCCCCTGCTATGTGTATATTTTCTTATAAGTCATATACATGCATTCCTACACTAATGTTATGTAATTAAACTGTACACTAAGTAGAGGTACAAAACAGATAAGAAAACTAAATTGAAGTAGAAGAGCTAATATTTTTCCTGGACGTGTGGATGGCCTTGTGTACCTTACTTTGAGGCTATGGTCTAGGAACTGAGGACTCAAATATGACTGGAAACACAGTCTCAGTCCACAAGAGCTGATGAACATCAACACCAAGACTTCTGTAAAGGCACTTCCCAGTTTTCATAGAGCTTTTACATGTATCATATATGTGTAGCCACTATTTATATAAACTATTTCATTTGACTGCCTAGTGAGGGCGACTCTTATCGTCTCCATTTGACAAAGGAGGAAACTGAGGCTCAGGGGGGCTCCCACCTTGCCCAAGGTCTTCCTGTCTCACTAAGCATCCCCCTTCCTTCCCCTCCGGGAGTGTGGATGCATGGGCACGTGCACCTGTGCACGTAGAGCACCTGTCCAGGACTCTAACCCTGATACTGAGAGAAGGACCTCCCAACCTCCCAAACAGGGCCTCCACCCTGCCTCCAGCTGCTCCCCGGCCTCACTCCCTGTCCCCGCCTAGTGCATCCTCTGCTCTCTTTGCAGATGCTATTGGCCTGCAGCCAGATGCCCGTGGTGTGGCCACATCCCTGGGGCTCAACGAGCGGCTCTTTGTTGTCAACCCAGAGGAAGTGCATGAGCTGGTAGGGTCAGGCAGGGTGCCAGGACCCAGGGCAGATCTGTGTTTTGGGGGTGGTAGGGATGGGCACTGAGGAGCGAGGGGCCTGGTCTGGCTGCTGCTGGCCTTAAGTGGAGAGAGGAAGGAGTGGGTCTCCGCTGATGGGGTATTCCAAAGGATGGGAGGGGCACGCTGATTGGGAGCTCTCAAGGAGAAAGAGGAAGATCTGCCCCCATAGTGGCTCCCTAGGGGATAGGAGCCCTACAGGGAGGCGTCTTGGTATCAGGGAGCTGTCAGGAAGATGCCTCCTTGGGAAGCCCTATCATCTAGAGGCCCCTTCACTGCCTGCAGCACCCCTGCCCTCCCCAACACTCTTCTGCTCATGGGCACAGAGTCTACCCCAAATTCTTCTCCCACCTGGTACCTTTCCTCTGGACTCCATGGGCACTCCCCTGAGTACTCTCCCCCCTGCAGACCCCACACCCTGAGCAGCTGGGGCCCACGGTGGGTTCTGCTGAGGGGCTGGACCTGGTGAGCGCCAAGGACCTGGCCGTCCAGCTGACGGACCACGACTGGAACCTCTTCAACAGCATCCACCAGGTGCGGGGAGCGGAGCTGAGGGGAGGACAGCAGGTGGCAGGCATCTCCAGTGGCCTGTGCTGATCTCTTGCGCTGCCCCCTCCCAGGTAGAGCTGATCCACTATGTGCTGGGCCCCCAGCACCTGCGGGAAGTCACCACCGCCAACCTGGAGCGCTTCATGCGCCGCTTCAATGAGCTGCAGTACTGGGTGGCCACGGAGCTGTGTCTCTGCCCCGTGCCCGGCCCGAGGGCCCAGCTGCTCAGGAAGTTCATTAAGTTGGCAGCCCAGTGAGTGCCTGTGGGGATCCCCGGGATGTGTGGCAGAGTCCTTAGGCCACTTTTTCTTAAACCTCCCGGTCCCTGGTCAGGATGTTGCCAAATCTGGATGTTGTCTTGAAGTGGGGCTCTGTGGGTACGGCTGCTTCCTCTGAGGGTCTCTGGTTCTTCCGCTAACAGCCTCAAGGAACAAAAGAACCTCAACTCCTTCTTTGCCGTCATGTTTGGCCTCAGCAACTCGGCCATCAGCCGCCTGGCTCACACCTGGGAGGTAGGTTGTTTCCTGGAGGGGTGGCCAGGCTCTCCTCCCACTCCAGTCCTGAGGTTGGACCTCTAAGCCCATCCTGGGGACAGGACTCAGAACAGCCTCATCTTCATCTGCTTCTTCCTTCGCAGCGGCTGCTCCACAAAGTCCGGAAAGCTGTACTCGGCTCTTGAGAGGCTGCTGGTGAGTGCTGGGGCCGTGGTCTGGTCTCTTCTAGAAACCTTGCTCCTTGGGCTTCTCAGCAGCCTCTTCTACTTGTCCTTGGTCACTGGCCAGGGTTTCCCAGCCTCTGAGCCGGGATCTTGTTCTCTCTTGCCCTGGGAGTGGGGGGGAGCTGGCTGGAAGAAAAGGGGTGTGTAACCTTATGGAGGGGGGGTGCATAGGGTAGTTTTTTCCCCCCAGAATGTGGGGATTTAGAGAGGGTACCATTTCCTGGGCTTTGGAGGTCCCTGTGGGAAGCCCAGGACAGGCACATGCGGTTTCTGGCCCTGGGTCTGAGGTCCAAGGGGAGCCCGGGACTCCGGAAGCAGGTCCCGGCACCAGCACCCACAGTGTGACAGGGCCGGGCTCCAGGAGCCTGTGGTCAGATTAGGCCAAAAGGCGGGGAAAAAGTTGAGGGGGGGAACTCCACCTCCCAAGAATTTTTGGGGGGTTTGAAAGGTTTTGCCAATTTTCAGGAGAGAACTGGCTCAGAGGTGTTCTTATCAGTATGGTTCTGGGAGTTCTTGAGCAAAAAATTCACCTGTGGGGTTCAAGAGGGTAAAAGGAACTTCCCTCCCAGAGAGGGGTAGCCATGGGGGGGGGGGGGGAAAGAGAGAGAGAGAGAGAGAGATCCATGAAAGCTCAGGGCCCTGTGACTAATGGCTATGAAGTTTCCTTGGCGGCTAATTGGAAGCCAGGAAGCCACATGCACACATGGCCTTCCTGCCTGCCTTGGTGAGACCTGGGGCTGAGCAAAGGCTGAGCTCCAAGGGTGGGCATATGGCCCTTCTTGGGGGGGGGGGGGATGGGGGCATTTGGTTGTGTTACGGTATGTGGCGTGGGGGACCTTCCCTTTCTCACTGTGACTTCTTTCCTCCCAGGACCCCTCATGGAACCACCGAGTATATCGACTGGCCCTCACCAAGCTCTCTCCTCCTGTCATCCCCTTCATGCCCCTCCTTCTCAAAGGTAATGGGACCAGAGCTTACCTTCCAGCCTCCATCCTGTCATGCATTCCTGCGCCTGTATGTCTGCATGTCCACCCAACCCTCTCTGAGCGATTCCAATGTGCTGACGCCTTGAGGGGCACAGCAATGAATTAGGAGTTCACAGGCTAGAAGTTCACAGGCTAGAAGCAGAGTCAGCACATGCAGACAGACATGCAGACAGGCATTGGTGACATCAGATGGCCTCTGCTATGAGGCCTAAGAGATACAAGGAAATTATTCCAGGAGTTGGAGGGGAGCCAGAGGAAGAGGGCAGTGGGGGGCGGGGGGGCGGGGGATGAGGCTCATTATTGGCCCTTCACCTTTCTTGGACTGCTGAAGGGGAAAGGCGTTTGGGGATCTTTGAGCACAACCAGTTTCTTTGCAGACATGACCTTTATCCATGAGGGAAACCACACCCTGGTGGAGAATCTCATCAACTTTGAGAAGATGGTGAGTTCCAGGAGAGCAGTCGCTTCCTACTGGATTGGGTTGGGGGATATGACTTCGGCCTTGGAAGAAAGTGCGGGGGTGGGGGGGGGGCGTGTTAGGAGATGGTCTAAAGTTATTAATAACATGAATGTGAAGACTTATTTTAAATTAGCCCTTTCGTAACTCCATTGTATACTGGAGAGCCTGCTCTATTGGGGGTGCTGGGGGGCAGCCTCAACTATCTCACCCTTCGACGACAGCCCCTCCCAGGCCTCTTCCTCTCTGAGCTCTTCCTGACCTCTGTTCTCCCACTTCCTGGTTCCTGCTGGGCCTCTGCCTGTACTGGGGCAAAGGAGACATGCTCCCTCTCCCACCTACCCCCATTGCCTCTTAGCCTCCAGTTCAGGGGTGGGCAACCCCTGGCACACGTGCCAAACTTGGCACGCCAGTAACTTTTGCTGGCACGCGAAACCCTCTCTTATAATCTTCCATTTACAATTTTTTTCTTAATATCGACTTTTTTATTTTTCAGATAAATTCAGTGTAGGTGCATCTTAGATAAATAAATAATTTTACATAACATGTATACATTAAAAAATAAATGTATTTTTCATCATCATATACTGTGTTTTTGTCGCTCGAATGAATTTTATTATTTCTTCAAGGTTCTTCACATACGTACACCTTAAGAGATATCAAATAGGCGTAACATGTTCTCAAAAAATTAGGGTTGGCACGCAGAAGAATTTTGAGTCGGAGATTTTGCTGGTTTGGGCACGCACTCACAAAAAGGTTGCCCACCCCTGCTCTAGGTGCACCCTGCTCTCAGGGAGCTCGGGTTCCCAGCTGCCCCACAGGCCAAGCCGGGGTTCTGCTCTCAGGCCGGGTCTCATGTCCTTGCTTTGTCCGCAGAGAATGATGGCCAGAGCCGTGCGGATGCTGCACCACTGCCGAAGCCATAGCAACGGTGAGAGGACTGGCCCCCCTGGGTAGGTGCCCCCCAATGCCCCCTTCCAGGCTTGGCTGTGTCTTCCTGACTCCTACCTCTCTCCTACCCAGTGCCTCTCTCACCACTCAGAAGCCGCGTCTCCCACCTCCATGAGGACATCCAGGCAGCGAGGGTTTCCACGTGTAAGTGGGGCAGGGTGGGTGCTGATGCATTAGCGTGTTTAGGCACTTGCATACATGATACATCTATGATACATGCTGATAGCTTCACAGCACCTCTATGACGTATGTGGAATGTTATCCCAACTTAAAGAGGCACAAACGGGCTTGATGTTAAAATAACTTACAGAGGCCACACTAGTTAGCAAGGGAGTTGTGACCCATGCAGGCTTGCTCAAGACCTGCATTTCAAAAATTGACTCTCAGTTTCATGAAATGGGATTAATCATAATTCACACTTCATACCACACTGTCATCATTGGCCTTTTATTACATTTTATGTGTGTGTTTATTCTGATAATGTAATGAACATTTCTGGACCCAGTCCAAGCATGAGCACACTGACAGTAAGACCTCCTGTCCCCTCGCCTCCCCACCCATGGTAACTGCTATCCTGAATTTTGAGTTACTCATTGTTTTGTTTTGTTTTGTTTTGTTTTTAATGAAACTTTAAAAAATATATATTTATTGACTTGAGAGAGAGAGAAACATCGATTTGCCATTCCACTTATTGAAACATTCATTGGTTGATTCCTATATGTATCCTGACCGGGATCAAACTCACAGCCTTGGTGTATCAGGACGATGCTCTAACCAACTGAGCTACCTGGCCAGGTCATTTTCTTGTTCTTTAAAATAGCTTTATCATTCACACACAGATACACACACACACACACACACACACACACACACACACTTTTAAATGCCATATATATATATAATATATATAATCTGCATTATATATATATTATATATATATTATATTCTGTTGTCAATATATATATATACAGAATAATCTTTAGTTTTCATTGATTTTAAACTTAGTAAAAGAGATACTAAGCTATATGTAATCTTGGGGACCTGTTCTTCCTGTCTTAACCGACTGCTGTTCTGCCCCCAGTGTCAGTGGTGGGTGGGAGAGCAGTCTCCAGGGCTGGGGTGGGAAGTGGCCGGGTGGATGGTGGAGGGTGGGAAGTGGCCGGGTGGGTGGTGGAGGGCAATAAGGCTGATTTGCTCCTCGGAGGGGGAAGAGATGGGCTCTACAAAGCAGTGTCCAGGCCCTCCCTGCCCGCCTCCCCCATCCCGCCAGGCTCGGAGCAGTCCCTGAGCACCCGGAGTCCAGCCAGCACCTGGGCTTATGTCCAGCAGCTGAAGGTCATCGACAACCAGCGGGAACTGTCCCGCCTCTCCCGGGAGCTGGAGCCTTGACGAGGGGGCTGGGGCTGGAGCAGCAGGCACTTCCCGCCTGGAAAGCCAGGGCACGCCTGGGCCCAGGGGCCCACAGGCCGGCCGCAGCTGGGCAGGGCTCTCCGAGGAATGGACTTGAGGCCCTGGATCGGGCAGCGTGGAGGCATCTGTCCCCTGTGATGATTGTCGGCCGCAGAGGACCTCAGAGTGGAATGAGCGGAGGCCCAAGCCAAGGAACAGGGGATAGAGAGGCCAGAGTGGGTGGGAGAGCAGAGCAGGCGCTGGGACTCTGTGTTCAATAGAGAGCTCTCCACACCAGGTTTTTTCCAGACTCTGTGCCTCGTGGCTTTGTTGTCCAGCCATCTCCTGGCCCCTGTGGTGTGTTTGCACAGTGGACTGCGAGTGTCTGCATTTGTGTGGCATGTGTGTGGCAGGGGCAGGGCCGGCGGTGGGGAGGGCGGGGCGGAAGGGGGCAGCCCTGCTTTTCTTTCCATAGCACAGGAGAGAAACAGCTGGGTGTGGTCAGGGCTGATTGTGCAGGAGGGGTGGTCCCTGAGGAGCCCTATTGTTACCGTAAACTAACAGAGATGCCTGTGTGTGAGAGCTCAGCCCTGTGGGGTGTGGCAGGGAAGGCGAGGAGCTGAGGAGGAGGTGCTGTGCCCTGGAGTGGCCCCAGAGAGGCTGACGGGGCAGCTCCATGGCCGTGTGTGGTCTCTGGGACCAGGCAGGGCTCCCAGATGGCTCACTGTTGTCCATTTTACACACCCCCTACCCCACCCCCCTCCGGGCACAGCACCTGCTGGAGCCCGGAGCCCGTCACTGGCTGGCCTGGGTAACCCTCTGCTCTTCACGGTGGTCGGAGGGGACAGTGACAGCCCAGCTACAACTATCTCCTTCCACTGCCTCCTCCGCTCCGCTTCCTGTCCCTCGGCCTGGTGCACATCTTGGCAGAGGCTTCCGAGGGGAGTCCATCCCTTGCTGAGGCCTAACAGGCTTCCAGGAATTAGGCTTTCTCATCAGTGGCAAGAATGGTCCCAGCCGGCTCTGTCAGCATTAAGTCCTCTCTTCAGCATGTGCCTGGGAACCAGTTGCTCAGAGGACCCCTTCCACTGCTCTCTGCTCTCTGCTCCCCATGGCCCCGGGCCTGGCAGGGGGAGGTGCACTGTCTGGCCCCACGAGGGGCCTCTTGGCCTTGGGGATGACCCTGGGGTGGGTGTTGAGCTGCAGGGTCCAGGGCATGTGGAGGAAGTTGGCCCTACATTTGCTCAGCAGGTACATCTACCAGGGTTCAGGCTGGACACCCCTACACACACCTCCCCTCACCCCTACACACACACCTCCCCTCATCCCTACAACACCAGACCTCTTGTCCTCATGCTCAGGGACTCATGCAAGCTGCTTCCTGGAAGCGCCAGACGCTTAGCGACAGGCAGCACAACTGGGATGAAACCTCAGGTTTCTGAGTGAACCTGAGCCAGTCAATGAACAGTTCTCTGCCTGTGAGATGGGTGTGATGATCTTAGTCCAGTTCTTGGTGAAAAAGCAATCAAACTGCAGCTCTGCCTCCAGAGCCCAGGGGACAGCTGTGGGCTGTCCTGTGTCCTCAGCCTGGCGGGGATGCCTCCTCGTGGGCGGAGTCAGGCAGAGCCCGCTCCCCAGGGAGAACCTGGCATGGAGCAGGTGGCAGCGGTAACCAGACCAGTTCCTTTGCCCGGAGAGGAGGTGGAGGACCCCTGGGCACAGAAGCTTCCAGAGCTGAGCAATCACCAGGCTGAGCCTCAGCCTGAGTGAGTCAGGACTCCCAGTGGCTTTCTTCTCTTCCAAACCCATTGTTGTCAGGGCTTCGGCAAGACCGGCCTGCCCTTCACCATCCTCTGAGACCCAAGGGCAAGACCAGCCTTGCAGCGATGCAAGCCAAGCGAGGGAGGGGGCTGTGTCCCCATCGGTGTTTCTCCTCTGTGGTCACACCTACGTCCCTGAAGGACTTGGGCACCTTTTGAATCTCCCTCAGCCTTGGACTGCCCTGCAACGTCCCGGCTGCTCAGTCTCTTGGGCGGGACACCTTGGAGCCTGTGGGAGAGGCCTTGCCAGGAGAGCGGTGCCCAGGGTGGCGGGAGGACACTGACTTGGCGCCGAGGCCCCGGTGACCAGGCTTCGTCACCGCAGAGGAGGGAAAGGCTCCAGGTCACAGTGACTCGAGCTCTGAGCAGTGCTGCCTGTCTCCCTCACTGCCCAGGGGTGGGGTGGGTGGGATGTCCTGGCAGCCCAGGCTGTGTGTAGGGCTCTCAGTCTGTGTCCCAGCTTCAGGGGAACCCTGAAGGGAGGAGGAATTCATGGGAGGCTGAGAGAAGGAAGTATAAGGTCAAGCCTTTAGAAAACCGTTTACCTAAAAGGAGGTGAAGCAGAGGGGATGTGTGTCCTATGGGGGAGAACAGAACGGAGTGGGTAATCCCTTCTCTCAAATACTCACCTTCCCCTCCCTTACCTCTTATCCTTAGCTTCCCTGTGCAGGCCTGAGGCAGGCTGGGGACCAGGCCAGGACTCTAATTGTGGGGTGCACACCAGGGAGGGGCACGTCTCCAGCAGGCTGAGCAGGATCTGGAGAAGGGGTAGGGCAGGATGGAGAGTCCAACCCTCCAGCTGCTGCAGCTCCATTCCCTGGGAGGGAGTCCTCCCCTCTCTCCTAGTCCCACCTTGGGTCTCTGGCTGCTCTGTTTTTTTGTATTTTATTTTCTTTCTTTTAGAGAGGGGAGAGAGAGAGAGAGAGAGAGAGAGAGAGAGAGAGAGAGAGAGAGAGAAACATTGATCAGTTGCCTCCTACACACACCCCGACTGGGGATCAAACCCACAACCTGGGTATAATTGCCCTGACTCAGAATTGAACCCACGAACCTTCAGTGCACAGGATGATGCTCCAATCAACTGAGCCACACTGGCCAGGACAAAATTAGGTTTCTTAATAGAGCTGTTGTTCCCAGTACTTATCATGCTAATCAATTTGAATTGTTTCCATCCTTTCTAGCACACTTTCACTTCTATTATCTTTTCACCCTGATGATAGGGAGGTATTTTTACCCCTGCTTACAGTCAAAGAAATTGAGGCACAGGAAGATTTGCCTGAGGTCACATTACTGGTTAATAACAGGTGGGTTGGTGAAAGGGCTGGATGTGTTTCCGCCATGCCTATGCCATGGGCCTTGCTCATCCGTGCCCTTCCCTTGTGCCCCGGAACTCCAGCATTTCATAGGCCCAGGCATATAAACTCCCCTTTCCCGTCCTCCCTCCCTCGCTCCCTTCATTGTGGAGTCCTTACTACGGGCCTGGTAGAGGCTCTGTGAATGACACAGGCAGTCCTGGCTCCCCAGGGAGCAGACCAGCCAGCCGGGCAGATGGATGCAGAGCAAGGCCAGCAGAAGGGACAGGGTGCCTCAGAGGGCAAGTCCAGAGAGTGGGGGAGGCCTCATTTGCAGGGCTCACTGCTCACCCGCAAGCATTCAGGCCCACGGCTGCTCCGCGTTGGAATGCAGGTACACAGCCCCAGTCACTGCCCACCCCGCTCCCAGAGCCCTGCACACCAGTGGCGATCCTCTGCCTCCCAGAGTTGGGGGCACTCTCAGCTCCCCACTGGTACAAGCCAGATGTAGGGCTGGTGGCTCAGGCAAAAGCTCTAACCTGGCTGTTGTTCTTGATCCCTCCCTCCCTTCCATGGACAGATAGGCCAGAAAGTACATGCATTTCCAAATGTGTCCTTATACCCTGCCCCGAACACAGAGTTCTGGGCTTCTTACATCTGCCAGGCCCACGGGCTTGAACTACATGGGTGTCTACTCAGGCCTGTCCAGTTGCCCCAGGCACCCCTCTCCGAGGTCCTGGACTCTTCAGGACCTGAGCCTCGCCCTCCTGCTGCCCAGCTGACGGGACACCTGAGGGTGAAGGGGCTTTCTTCCGGGGCGGTGGCTGCCGTCCCTCCCAGTGACGATGCTGACAGCAGCTCACTCTGGGAGCTGTGCTGGGAGAGCTTGGAGTCTGACTCAGCTGTGCTGAGAGAGCGCCTTCTCTCCCTGCCTGGGGCCTTCCTGGGGCAGGCGGGCCCATCTCCCATTGATGGAGCCGGAGGAGGTTGCTCTGCTGGTGGCGGCGGGTAGAACACAGAGGCAGGAGCATGGGCCCAGGGACCCTCAGGAGGAGGAAGAAGGCCAGACTCAGAGCCCAGGCCCACTTAGGTTTATAGGCAAGTGAGATTCTGGTGGCTCGTCTGTGTTTAGACTGACCGGCATGGACCCCGGCCAGGAGCCTGGACATGCAGGGCCTTGCCTGACCGTCATGCTCTTGGCTCTGGGGCCGTGCTCAGGGCCTCGGTGCTGTGGCTGGGGTGTGAGCTGTGGGCAGCCCGATGTTCCCAGGCTGCTGGGTGGAGGAGAGGGCAGGCTTTCCTGGCACTCAGAGGACTCTGGGTAGCAGAGGGGCTGACAGAGGGTGACATTTGCTAGGGCCATGGCAGCAGGACATGTTAGGCTCTTTCTGCCTCCAGAAAAGTGCCCTGTGAACCAGAGCTTGAGGTTCACAGGTGGTCCTCCCACAGTGAGCAGCCGGGGGCGGGGGCGGGGGCGGGGGGTGAGGAGCCTTGGACACAGTGGCCACGGGCTTTGGGCAAGTCCCTTTCTCCCTCTGGGCCTTAGTTTCCTTACTTACAAACAGAGACTTGGACGAGGTAGGTGAGGGATGTGTTCCTGCATTTAGTGTCGATGACTTAGGCAGCTCAAGTCATCACACGGGGTGAGGGGGCCCAGACCTCTCTTGGTCATGATGCTGGCGACTCCTCCGAGCATCTTCCCAGCAGTGGCCTCCAGGCAGACTGCCCTGGAGAGGGAGAGCCAGCGCAGGCACGGTTTATCAGAAGGCTTCTCAGAGAGTTCCCTGTCCCCGAATAAAACCTCCTGCAGCGCGCCTGAGTCTTCCTTGCCTGCAGAAGGCCTCTGTTGTGTGGACATATAACTTGGGACAATTCTAATGGTCACTTTAAGGGGAGAAAAGGAAAGACAGAGCCTTGAGGCAATGGCGCTGAGGGAGTTGCTATAACATGGGGCAATGGGCAAGGCCTGGACTATTCCTTAGGGCAGTGGCTCTAGGGAGCGCAGGGCCCCCAAGGGAGAGAATTAGCGGGAGAGGTAGATGGCCAGCCTTCTCCGTGTCTCCTTTCTCTTGGTTCTTGGCTCCTGCACCCTGTAGCTGCTGGTGATCTCATTAAAGCCCCAGGAGCAGGAGGCCGGAGCTGTGGACTAGCTCCCCATTGATGGCAGAGCAAGGCTCAGCTCCCCAGGCTGCAGCCAC